AGTATGAGTCTGAGGACGAAGAGGAGTGATGCGATCTGTTGTCTATTTTAGTGTGTTTTGATGTTGACTTGTACTATTGGGGTGTTTTGTCCCCCACGCACATTGTTATTTCTTTAAGTTCTTTAATTGCAGTACTGTTGATTTTCAATTATTTTGGTTCAATAATTTTTTGTGATTGATTTTTTGTCCAAACCTTCTAGATTGGTTGCTCTCTTGAAAGAAGTATCCAATGAAGGTGCATCCGAGCTTGGATGGCGATGATAAAATTAAATAAGTGATGAAAGCTAAGGTACACTGTTACCTTCGGTTAGAACTGTATAATGCTTGCGGAACTTTCACTTCCTTTTGTGATAAAATATTTTCCGATTGCAACTTAATTGATTGAATGATTCACTTAGGACTTTTAAACCATCAATTGTGAGGAAACCTCCATTATGTACTTAAATGCTGGATTCTGATAAATTGTGTTGATTCATTTTATTCATGCGTTGTCTTTTATTATTATGAATTGTGGAAGTAGTTGATATGATCAAGGCACTTGTTTCTCTCGAGCATAACCATTTCCAAAGATAAATATACCCGTGAGCAGAGAGAGTATTTGTAACCCAATTTTGAGCCTAAAACAGTTGAATCCTTGCTTGGAATAAAGCGAGTGTCAAAAATCTTTTTCTTGAAACCTTGGAAATTTGGATTAATTGCTCTTCTGATGCAAAAAGAAAAGAAAAAGGCATTCATTTAGGGGAAAAGAAAAGACAAGTTGGGGAGAACAAATTTGTAAAGAGTAATTGGTCACAACTCTTGTTAAACTAGCAAGCATATATCTAAAAAATAAAAAAAGAAGAGAAGAAGAGAAACACTCATTTTTTGTGATTATGGTGTAGAAAAACAAGAAAACAAATGCTTGCTTGGTAGAAAAAGTGTGAAAAACAAAAGGGAGTTGTGAAGGGTTCAAATAAGGAATTGGTGGAACAAAGTTGAAGAGGTGTAAATAATTGTATAGTGAATGTCTCTTTTGCATCGGAAACTTCGTTCAAAGGCCTTAGATATGTCCCTTGTTTGTTAACCCAACCAAGCTATAACCGGAAAAGACCTTAGTAATCTTCGTGCTTCCACAGTTTCATGTAGAATTGTTAGACATCGTATGAATAGAGTTGATTTTGACATTGTTTATTGGAGAGTGAAAATTCCCCTACGCTTTCATGTGCGACATTTTCTTCAATCCTTTTTCGAAGAGGAGAGTTAGGGTGATTTGTTCATGATATCATTGTTGTGATTTGATGAATGTTTAGTATTGCTTAAAAGTTTTAGTTCTGGAAGCATTGTTTTGTTTCTAACCGTTGGAAACATGTGTCTGGTCAAGTCACTTGCAATTTGAGCCATATGATCTGATCTCAGAAAAACCTGACTCTTTAAGCAAATCTTCTTGGTTACTCGAGAGGCATACTTTGCTTGAGGGAAAGCATGATTCTAGTTGGGGAGAGTTGTTAGATGCCCAATTGTGCTTATTGGAGCTATCAAATATGGACATCTTTCACTTCTTTTTATGCCGAAAACGTATTTATTAAGCCTTGCTTTTGTTAATGTGCATCATTGTGTCAAATGCTTTTGGTCTTTTTGATTTGTGTGTTATTGTGCAGGATTTAAGTGTGAAAGAGCATTATTGAAGGCACAAGAAAATTGGCAAAGGAATCAAGCAAAGAGCATAACAAAAGTTGGTTCGCTCAGCGAGCACTTGGCGAGTGAGTAGCGAGTGTTCGCTACAGCCTCGCCTAGCGAGCACGTAGCGAACAGCTCCAGACTTGGGCAGAATGGTTTTCAACATCAATCTTGGTCAGCGAGCAAGTGGCGAAGAGGCTCGCTAGGCGAGCTCCCAGCGAAGCAAAACAGAATGTCCCAGGCACCCTTCGCTGGCTCATTCGCTGCAACGAGCACCTAGCGAAGCATAACATAATGGATCTTGCAGACCTCGCTGGCAGGTTCGCTAGGCGAGGCTGTAGCGAGCGTTCGCCAGCAGCTCGCCTAGCGAGTGAGTAGCGAGCGTGCCCAGATTTGTCACTTACTATAAGTAGCTTGGGCCACTTTTTGGAGAATATCTTCTTCTTTTTCACTTTTACATTTGTTTTGCTGCAAGAAAGGGTTTTGTGACCTAAAAACCTATTTTGGCTTATTTTCCTTCATCTCTTAACATAATCAAACAACAACAAGGTGGATCATCATCAAAGTTGGATCATTCAACTTGGATGTTCATCAACCGACTTTAAAACTTCTTTTGCAAGCTACCATGAGAATGTGTAGCTAAGTTCATCTTGTTGTCAAAGATAGATGTAGGTAATCATTGAACTTTGTATTTGTATGGATGATTTTCATTTGTAAACTATTGAATGATTAATGTATGGTGAAAACTTTATTTTAATCATAATCTTTTGTGTTAGTTAATGATTGAGAAATATTTACCAACTCTTGACCTAGGTTTTCACCCATCTCTTTTCTTGAGCTAAAAATAGTCTTAAATGATTTTGTTCACTTAAAACGTTGAACTTTAAAGTTGTCATTTTGATAGATTGTGTGAGAGATAAACAATGGATTAAAATGATAAACTTCACAATATGAGTTAGAGATAATCATATTGAGAGGATATTGTGAATGCATTGATCATTTGAAAGAGTTTATTAAATGTTGATCAGAAGTATACATGCAAAGTGATTACCGAAACCTAACTTTGACAATCTTTATTCAAACCGTTAAAACCTAACTTTTATCGCATTTATTCCTTTCATGCAAAACACTTTTTACCTTAAACACAAACTCTTGGATACCATTAAACTATAAATTTAACAACTGTTGAACGACGGCAAAAAAAAAAATCTTATTATTCCCTGTGGAGACGATAATACAAACCCGACACTTAACCACTATTCTAACACAATGCCAACTAAATATAGAAGGTATGCTCTCATAGAATATGCTTTATGGAGCCCCACATGCTCTTCATCCTCTATTATAACGTGTTGTGCTCTAACGATCTCATATGTGTATACCTTTTTTAGGAATTCAGACCTAGCATGAACCCATATGGTTCTATCCAACTCTTCATCGCATCTGTTGGTCAACACCCAGATAGTCTGCCATCACTTCGAGTTCCTCGTCTTTGGTAATCCTTCCATGATCTAAAAGTTTCTTCCTGATCGAAAGATGTAGCAAATACGACACATTGTCGAGTGTGATATGTATCTCACCATGTGGGAGATGAAATAACGAGATCTTAGAGTTCTGTCTCTCCATAAATGCATTAAGTATCTCGTGGTTAACCGTAATATAACTGGTCATACACAAGTACTTCATCCTAAACAGGGACAAAGCTATCTGAAACCACTCCTCATTTGGCTGAGGCAAGCCAGTAATCTTCCACTTGTTGTTAATAAACTTCAGCGCATCACGGTCCTGCAAAAAATAATAATCAATGTAAGAAACTTATAATCCATTAATAAACATAAATTAAAAAAACAAATCCAACTAATGTTACTTCTTCGTCCTATATATGTATGGCAGTATAATAACAAATCTACAAGGCTTCTCCAAATGCCTCTGGCTCAACATCCTCAGTAGCTCCACCATCCGGAGGTGGCATTGACTCAACAACAGTATCAACAGTAGAAGGTTACACTGACTTATTAAGAGGTGACATTGGCTCAACAACATCAATAGTAAAAGGTGACACAGGTGACTCGAATACCTTTCGCGCCTGAATAGGTGAAACTTGGCGCTTCCGGGAGGATGAAAGAGTGATGTGTCGGTAGATAAAATCTGTCTCCTACGGGAAGAAGATGGAGAAGCATGAGCTCCAGAAGAAGATGTCTCTGCATGACCAGTGTGAACAGGAGCCTCTAAAACCTGACTCTTCTCCCGCCACACTGACGTATGCTGTGAAATCCTCTCATGCATCAGCCTATCGTGTCTACCAACCATAGTTTCTGTAATTTAAAGTAAACCAAACAAGTAGTGCAAGCAAGCAATACTACAAACAAGAAAACCAAAAAACAAACACACTGGTAATCTACGGAGATGCATCTCCGAGTATATATGAATCCAAACGTTGAAATTTTTTGGAGATGCATCTCCAAAATTTTCTACAATTGTTCAGTTCATTAATGGATTCAATACAGAATACAAAACTCAAAATAAACGGTTTGGTCGTGATTTTCAACAAACAGACTAGTTTTACAACATGTATAAACTAATATTCTAGTATTTCCTACTCATTTGATACCTAAATCATCATTTTTTACTCATTTACACAAAAACTAAAAAAAAAAAAAATCAAAACATAAAAAAAGTTACAAATTTTCACTCTGCTTCGGCGTTGGATGATGCTTCTGATGTTGATTGATGACCCTTTTAACTTTATTGTTTGATTTTGGACTTGGTGATGGAAAAAGAATTGAGAGAGTTTGAAAAACGTTTTGAGTTTTTGATGAAATAGGAAGAAGAAGTGTTCTGGCGCAATATAAGTTCTAAATAATTCCGAAGATGCATTTCCAAAATAAATTTGAAGATGCATCTCAAAAATATTTTAACTCAGAATTGAACGCGTTTAAAAATACATCTTCAAAATCTGAAGGACATTTAAGTCTTTTCACGTTATGCTTAAATAACATATAGAGTCCAATAAGAATTCTAAAAAATATGATTCTTTCAGGGCCAATTTGAGCCCAAGTGCATCTGTATTTTCCGGCCCTAACACCCTCATTTCCCACTCTCACTCTCACAAACCACATGTTTTGACTCACACATCCTTCCCCATTGATGACTGATCTGCGACATTTTCCCTACGTTGTTTTTGTTCTTTCTTCATGTTCCTAACTTCATTCTTAACTGGTGAGTCATACATTACTTCCCTGTCTCTGTTTCGTTGTAACTTTTTACGAATTTGATTGCATACCCTTTACGAGTTTTTGGTGTTTCAGATTGAATTAACCATCAAAGTTTCCAACTTTACCAAAATGGTATGGCTAATTGCACTCGCATTGCTTCTTGGTGTTGCCATTGTTCTTCTTCTTTTCAACCCAAGACACCACAAATCTGGTTGGTCCCTTTTTTTATTTTCACACTCTTCTAATTACTATAATAATAATATTGTGATTTATGCTAAGATTTTTAAATTTTGAGAATTCATTTATGTATTTTTATGTGATTTCTTTGAATCTTTCTTAGGACAAAAGGGAAAAGCTGGTTCCACCTCAAACAATGATAAGGTATTATTCATTGCATATCTAAGCTCAAACAATGATCATCTCTATTTTGTGTTACCTGTTAGTTCTGCTATTTTGTTTATCTTTGAACCATTAAGTTGAATAGTGTGATTTCTTTGTGTTAATACTTTTTTTTTGAACTGAGGAATGACATAATTTAATGAAGAATATTTCGGATCTAAGTGAAACTAATTAGTTTGTGTCTTTATATTAGTTTCTTCCTAAATTAGTGGACTGCCAATATAATTGTCGGGAATTGTAGGTGTCGTGTGATCAGTGTTGTCAAATATAGGCCATACTGGATTACGGTGGCGAATTTTTCGATAGCCACTATGGCCAGTTTCTGAAGGATGGCAGTGCCATGGGGGCTTTATATGGTAGATTTTTGGATTACCGTCATTGATAACAATGCGTGCAATTTGGTCTCACAAATTGATGAATTTCCAAAATGGTCTGCAAAGTTAAAAAACCTTTGATCATATCGGTCCATTTGATTCGGTCAATCACGTCTCTAAAATTTCTTCAGAAGGACTAGGGCTATTGAAGATTTTTACATATATAATTTTGAATTTTTATTAGTTTCAGGAACTGTATTCACCGGTCTCTACAATTTGAGGGACTAAATTGGTGATTCACACTTTATTTATTGGAGTGAAGTTTGTTGTATGACCATCTCGTACCATTTTGTTTTGAATGTGTGTCCCTTCCCTTGTGATATTTATGCTTTCTAGTTTAGGGTTTATAGCGGGAAGTTATCACTCTTTTTCTTTCTAGTTTTATGTAGCACTGACACTTCATATTGAATGTATGTCTGCAATCTGGTGTCTGGCATGACACCGACACATACGGTTACATTCAATTACTCCATTTTCTCAAACTATTATCAATGTTGACGTGTTAGTGTTAATATCGTGTCTGATGTTTGTGTAAGTGCTTCTCAGTTCTAGCTTGAAAATAATTTTGTAACTGGAAAGTACAGTTACCTTTAGCTGCTTTTAAGAAAACTAGCGATGGTGAAATAGTCTATTTGACTAAAAGTAAATATGTGAGTTGGGCTTAAATACTTGTGAACAGAACATGATGTGTTATCTTTTGCTTAAAAGTAATTTTAAGTAGAGAAAAGTGTCTCAACCTTGGTTTTGTGAGCTTTTGTTAGACATCCTATAAAAGAATCCAATTGTTGTCATGTTTTGTATGTGTAATATGTTTTGCTTGCAGACATCAAAATCCTATAGTAAAAATGAAGTCACATTGCATAACAAGAGAACAGATTGCTGGATAATCATTAAGAACAAGGTGTGATCTTTTATGCACTTTTGAGCTATTTCTTTTTGTTTCATGCCAAAACCTTTATTTTCTAATGCTATGATTTTACACTATTACCTTTGTAACTGATTCAGAGTTTATATATTTTTTTGTTTCAACTCACTATAGGTATACGATGTCACCTCATATGTGGAAGAACATCCAGGTGGTGATGCCATTCTAGCACATGCTGGAGATGACTCAACCGAAGGATTTTTCGGGTATGCATACATTCCTTTCACCTCATTTATCTGTGATGAAGAAATATTCTGAATTTACCCCTGCTATATATATTTCTCTTGCTGAAAAATTTGTCTTGTTTTTCCCAACAAACTATTTCATGCTTCTGTCTTGGTATTTATTTACTTGTATTAAGCTTGCTCTCATTTTTCTCACCGGTTAGCTGCTTAGAACCAATAAAGATTCAAGTAGAAGTTCTATGATTATTTATGTTCTGGAACGCGGCAGGAAAAATGAGATGTATAAAGTTTCTAAAGTTGCGACAGATGCTTTTGAATTTACCTGAAAAGCTTGGTTCCTATTATATGTGCTAGATCAATGATCTCAAGCTTAAACCATTTGGTAAAAATGAACAAATAATTTTAGTTAATAATGTGTGTATAATATTAGATATAACTATAGCAGTGCTTTCTAATTTCATCACAACGTTTTGTTATTTCAAAATATTACAATGATCTTCATAGAATCCGATGAAGGTTATCTAGTTGCAGATATAATATATTGGTCTTCACTTCATTAAGTTGCTCTTCCAACATTACTCGCATATCATTTTTAACTGGCAGTAGCGTGAGTCTCATTTAATAAAGCTTAATCTCACGCAGTATCGAGTCTCGAATTGTATTTAGGCTCTGTACTTGTTTCGGTAGTTAAGCTCATAAACCCTACCTTTAAATGTTGCCTTTTACCTTTACATTGCAGGCCACAGCACGCAACTCGAGTTTTTGACATGATTGAGGACTTCTACATTGGAGACTTGGACCAATAGCTAAATATTTGTTGGGTCTTCTGTCGCAAACTTAAGTTTAGGTCCAAAAGTACGTTTGCCTCAGAGAAACTTTGCCTCAGAAACTCTAAATGTTTCCAGTTTCTAAACGGAGTTGGCCAGTCTGCTACATTCAAGACATATGTAATTCAACAATTCGATTATTAAATTTCTTGTTGCCCCAAATTTTTGCACTCCTCTAATCATTTATCTTCATTAGACAGTATTTAAGCTGTTACTATATTAAAATCGTAGCATAATCCTGTCGTTTCCAAGTGCTTCAGTATGTTTAACAGAAAAATGGAATCATAAAATTAAATATGAATCATTAACTATAAGTGCACTTAGCCAATATATGTACACTGGTTCTTATCTGTATGTTTAACAGAAAAATGGAATCATAAAATTAAATATGAATCATTAACTATAAGTGCACTTAGCCAATATATGTACACTGGTTCTTATCTGTTATACATAGTTACAGAACTGGATTGTTACAATTACAAAACTTTTTACAAAATAGAACACAGCAATAGAAATTTAGTAATGAAAAAATTAACTAAGCTTGTACATAACTAAAGAATCAATCATTCAACATTCAATGCTAAATGAAGCTATATTTTCTTAGTTATTCAGATCGCTTTGGTTGACGCCATTTTGCAAAAGTTTTGGATAATGAACTCAGGAAAGATTCTTTTAAAGGAAACCCTATCCTTCCATATAGAAGTTTTCCTGCCAAGTCTGTGAATACTGGAGGCATATCTTTGTTTGTTGGAGTTCTATCTATCTGAAAAATACAACGAACACAAATTTCTGGTTTAATAAAAAGATTCGAAAAGTTATGAAAATATTAGATACATTTATAAGCTATTTTCTATTTATTTTCATGCAATTAGAGTTTTCTGTCGTTCTCTCGAATTGTAGAAACAATTAATACATACGTTCTTATACGATGAATACATAGATGTGTGTTAAATTAAGCATAATCAACTTACCTTGTAGATTTTCCCGTTTTTCAAGTAATATCGAATACCAGACCAATTAATAGATTGAGAGAAATGAGAACGAATTGCAGATATAGGGTATAGAAAGTTATCCACCAACATAGCAATGAAAATCTGCTCAAGAAAAAATAATCAATTAAAAAAAATCATTTACCTAATCAATTAGTTTGGATTATGAACTTGTAGAAATACTTACAAGACACCAATTATAGTTAATAATAGAAAGTGGAGGTGCCTCTGGTGACAAAACATTGCAAAGTTGAACTTCTATCCTTGTCAAGTTCCACATTGAAAGAAGCTCAAGAAAAGTGCATACGAATAGAAAGTACACCAGTGATAACCCTGAGAGAATTTATCATTCAGTATCAAAATCCAACTGATTGTTCATACATGAATCAACACTAACAACCTACTGAAAAAGTAGTATTCTCACCGTTAAAATTGTAGATCGTTTCATCAAGAGAGTATCCTTTATAGTGAAACTGTATTGCTGCTGCAACATGAACTATTGCCATAAAGTACGGGAATACAAATCCCCATGACAAATAACAGTGAACGCCAAACAATGTGCGGTTCATCACATGGTTAACTTTTGTGGTGTACGACTCCAAAACAAATGTCTGTTTCCTCAAATAATTCCAGTACCTAAATATATTAAACTAATTAACAGAGAACGCAGAACGGAAATTTAGCTTACACAGATGAATTATGATTACAACAAACCGTGCAAAATTAAGATCACTTGCAAGTGGATGAGGAAAGATGGCAACCGGAGGAGAAGTGATGAGTTTTTTATGAGCACCTGAAAGCGAAAATATTATCGCAAAAAATAACAGAATAAACAGAAATAAAAACCAGAAATTGATAACAGTATTGATTACTCACTAGATATGGCTGCAAGAGTCATATCATCAGAATATCCACCATTTTTAAGTTCGGATACTACACCGAAGTTATCTTGCCTAAAATCTTCAGCATGCATCTGGAGAGAAGAAAAAATAGTTGGAATGCAAAGAAAAAATAGTTGGAATGCAAAGAAAAAATAGTTGGAATGCAAGTACTATTGTGTAAACAAAACAAAAGAAAAAGAAAAAAAGTTGAAGCTACTTGCCATCATGCACCCTCCCCATAAAAAGAATGTTTTTCCACCGGTGGCGAATCCCATTGAACATGGCTGTAGAACAAAAATAAGAGGTAGGAACACACATTAAGAGATTCGTATCGTATCGATCAGGTTCAATTTAGTATGAAATCGAGATATGGATTTAGCTGTATTTGTTTACCATATGGTATTCATAGATGCAGTAACTTCCTAAACTTCCAGATGGCAAATCAAGAGGATATCCAGTTTGAATAAATATCTGTTACGCATTAAAACAAACAGTTAGAGAGTGTAACCAAATAATTATTGGCTAGAATATACATATTTTTGAATTTAGATTTCATGCATGCATTCACGTATTTGCAGCACATTGATGGTCATTGGACGGAGACCTAACAGTCCAGATCCAATGATTATCAATATGCTGACTACGTGAATGCATAGTTTTCATATTTTTAAGGCATACCTCAGGATTCTTTTCCATTTCAAAAGTGAGTGATCCAATTGATCCAGGATGTAGCCGAACATCGTCATCCAAAAACAGTACATACTTGCTATCTTTATGCATTGACTCCACTCCAACCTGCGAAGATTCATATATATATATATATATATATATATATATATATATATATATATATATATATATATATATATATATATATATATATATATATATATATATATATATATATATATATATATATATATATATATATATATATATATATATATATATATATATATAGCAATGTTTTAAAAACTGGGCTGAAGATTAAACCGGTAAAACCTTCAATTTATAGTGCAATTGATACCATTGGTTGAACTACGTTTTAAAAAATAACTCTTTGAACCAACTACAGTTCAACCAGTTTGATTCTGTTTTGATAGACTAAGAACCGATTGTACTGAAACCAACCGGTACGATTCAGAAAAAGTATATGCAAGAAAAAATCGTACCAATTGATTGTGAATTTTTTGACTGCAAGTTGTTGACAAACCAGCCACAAGTACTCTAGCATCAACAGAACCCTACATGTGTTAAACAAACATCTATATAAAATACAGAAAAGGCGAATATTATCATCGAATTCGAAAACTGCATGAGTTTCACTTGCACCTCAAATTCTGATATGAGTCTTGATACAGCATGGTAAGCAGGATCCTCTGTACTTTCCACCACCAAAATAAATTCTAGAGGACCACCATATAGAGATGTGAACTGTGTCCTCCAGTTATGGAGATTGTGTTCACCAAATCCTTTTAGAGGCATAATTACGGTTACTCTTGGCAAATTGACCTGATTGGAATGCTCAAGTTCATTGATATCATGACAAATGAAAGCAAAGTTATTTCCATTCTTTATACTCCTCTTTATTCTTACTATCTCTCTTCTCCTGTGTAACACAAATAAAGTAATGCAAATTTCAGATCGAAGGCGTGTTCAGTGTCACTGTCAGAGATGTATCAATATCAATGTATGACTTAAAGACATGTTAGGTGTCTGACACCAACACCCGTTATTCCATCAAACATTTCTATTTCATTAAATTATTACAGTGGTGTCTTAATGTCATTTCTAGTGTTAGTGATACATTCGTGTATGTATTAGTGTTTCATAGCTATGTAGTATCGACACCTCTGAAAAAATACATGATCACCGATGCCGACACCACACTGACGTTTGTAAATCCCTTTAAATTATTGTGACGTGTCAGTGTCGTGTGTTCGGTGTCTGTGTCCTTCGTAGTGAATGAATACCTAACATAAGCAGCTGCAAGCCATCCAAAAGCTAGGATTAAGCAGATTACACATCCCTGCATATTGAACATAAACATCGGATTTAAACGACACATTATATAAATTCTATTTCTTAAGAATAAATTTGTAAAATCAATATCAATATCAATTATCAACAAATTTAACGTGACAGAGAGCCAAAAACCCGATGTCTGCCTAACACATTTTCGGGGAGGGGCGAAAATCTTTTAACCGAAACAGAAATGATACCTGAATTTGAATGAAATATCCGAAAGGAGAAGAAAATTCTGAGCTGAGAGAAAAGAGGAAGGAATCAAGAGAGTCTAAGGAAGGCATTGATATTGTGAATGATCTTTGTGTCTATTTTCTGGTATTCTTTGAAAAATAACAGCTCTTGTTTGATTCTTGCATCACAAAAAACACAATGAGAAATTTTCCATTCATTGAGTTTCAGCCTATTTCTATTTCATTTTCAGTTTTTCACCACACAAACACAAATCAAAATGAAACCACCACTTTTTTTCTTCTTATTTTTCTTCTCTAATTTTTATTCTCTATTTTCCATATCTATTATTTGATAATGTGAGAGAGTATATGCATTAAAAAAAACAATAGCTTAAAATAGAGAATTGAGGGGTTGGTGGTTATTTATAGTTTTTTAGACACCAACAACATTACAATTTGCTTCATTTAATGTAGTGTAATAATTATTCGAAATACACATAATATGAAGTGTAATAATTATTGTAGAAAAAAGAAAAATTATAAAATTTTTTACAAAATTACTCTTTATTTTAGTACGGGAAGATAAATTAAGAAAACTAAAAAAAAATAACAAGAAGAATTCATTAGTATTGAAAAACGATTTATAATTTAGTAAAGAAAATGTTTATAAAATATTACATAAATTTTTACTATTATTTGTTTGATACAATTAATTGATATTAGCAACAATTTTTTTTGTATGGGGACAATTAAAAAAATACAGAACTTTTTAAAATAAATTTATTTTCTTTTCTAAATTCGCCATGAAGGATATGAACTCTTATAGTTATTTTTGTCATCAGACATTTTCAAGATTTTTTATTTTTTTAAATACGTAGAGTAAACGATTAAGAATAATGTTATTGGGAGGAAATTTTGATTTAAAATAAAAATAAGATAGTTGTAAAAAAATAAGAGAAATAGTAGAATTTGGTAGAAAATTGAGTTATTAGAATTAAAAATTAAAATAAAATAAATTAGAGTTAGTAAGAAGAGTAAAGGAGGATTATCACAGTTAAAGGGAATTATGTTTTTGTATTAAGTAGAAAAGGTGAGAGTTGGAAATTTTTATAATACGTGAAAACACTTTGGAAATTAAGAGGCAATAGGCTAAGTGAGAAAGACCAAAAACAAGGGTTTTGGAAAGAAAATCACCATAGCCAAAGCTTAGAGATTGTTGAAAAATCAAGTCAGAGGGAGATTACTATACTATGAGTGTATATTGTATGAAGGGTATAGAGGGATCCTCACCCTTCTCTAGGTTTTCATTTAATTTTACCATTAATGATGTTTATATATGTTTTTGATAAAAGTTGTGTAGATTATGCATAATTGTTTAGATTTATTAATTAATTGCTGTAGTATGATATGTTTTCAAAGTTATGAATTTAATATATGTTGTTAAATTCATGATATGATGTGTTTGAGTGTTAGGATATGAATTGGTATAGTGTGAGGGTTAGGGGTTGGAGAAGATAAAGTTAAACGTAAAAGTTGCTGATGTCAATCGATCAATGCACGTGAATTTTTGGCAAAATCTGGAAAAAAACTAATGTGAATCGATTAATTCCCAGAATCAATCGATTGTTCCCTTTCAATTTTCATGAAAAACCTTGGCATAAAGGTTTCAATCAATTGACTCTCTCTTGAAATCGATTGACACCTTGCAAAATTGTGAAAAATTACTGAAAATAAAGTTAGCTAAAACCACTATTTTCTCCAATTGTTTTTTCCATAACTTTAGTTCCGTAACTCTAAATGAGGTGCGGTTTGATGCGTTGGAAAGCCGACATGTATGGATACCTCATAGTGATGTATTAAGAGGATATATGGGTAATAGAATATGTGATATTTAATTGTTTTACTTATTTTGTAAGGTTGACGGTAAAGAACGAACATTTAACCATTGTAAATGAGCGAATTAATGATGAAGTGATGATAAGATGAATTGATATGATTGAGTGATATGTGGATGTTTATTCGATATGTGCATATATGTTGGGGAAGTACAAGTATAATTATGTGATTGTTGTAAATACTTGCTAATGATTATTGAGATGCATAGTTCAGAGTGAAAACTATTGTTGATGTGTTTAAAGGCATGACTGTTTATAGTTAGATGTGATGCTGTAATCATCGTGTTGTTATAATTGCATTATCATATGTAATACATCTTATGTTGTCGTTTTTATGAAAGAAGGGAGTCACGAGTTCAGAAGAGGGGGCAAGTGACTTGTTCGGAGCTCATATGAGGGGGCTCAGGGTACAAATGTCGGGATTCGATTCGTATGAACAACTATTGTTGAGTTGGTAGCACGTACATACAGAGTCAAGATGTTGTCACATTTCATACAAATTTGCATTTTTGAATTGATGTTTTTCGTGTGAACGCATTACCTGTTGATGGTTGTTGTTGCTGTTGTTTATGCTACCATTCCTGATCTTTTACACCGCTAATTCTCGCCCCTTTGTTGTTTTGTTTGTGTGTTAATGTATGATGTGCACAAATACTCAGGAACATAAGTAGTAGCTTCTGTGAGTTGGAAGATAGCCTTGGAACTCATACTCATTTACATCATCGTTTATCGTTTTTTGTCGGATAAAATGCTCCGATCAATAACATCAGGAAAAGGAATATTATTTTAGTTTTTTGTTGAGTCACTACTACGGAAAATACATATAATAACGCTCGCGTTACTACGGATATTCAATCAACCGTTGTAATATGTGATATTTAGACACATGCATTTTTTTAATTTAACCACCTATAACCACTGTTGATTTAATACACGTGGTGAAAAGTGGAGTATGGTCATAGGTTCAAATTTTAGCACCAACATTTTTGATTATTTACTTATTTTTAAAAATGCTGACAGACCTTTTACCATAGGTATATAAATCAACCGTGGTTATAGGTGACGCTTATATATATATATATATATATATATATATATATATATATATATATATATATATATATATATATATATATATATATATATATATATATATATATATATATATATATATATATATATATATATATATATATATATATATATATATATATATATATATATATATATATATATATATATATATATATATATATATATATATATATATATATATATATATATATATATATATATATATATAACGCTCTTAGTTCATTCCCTTTTTCCCTAGACGTACTTAGACAAACTTCATCTTCTGTCTCCAAACTTCTTCCGTTTACGAAACATTATTCATCCATTAAACCAAACTTAAAACCATTATTTCTTTCCCAAATAAAACTCAGAAACATTGCTTCCATTAATGCATTATAATTTGTTCCTGTTTAACGATTCTACAGGTAAAATGTTATTATTTAACAATTCTATTTATTTATTTTTTATTGTTGTTCGTGTTGTTGTTGTTGTTGTTGTTATTATTGTTGTTGTTTTTGTTGTTGTTGTTGTTTTTTCTTTTGTTGTTCTTGTTATTTTTATTGTTGTTATTCTTTTTTTTGATAAGCAAATATTATATTAAAGAGATTAAGAAAATCTCAAAACAACAAGAATACAAACACATCCTAATACAATACTATTACATAAAATTGAACGCAAATTTAAACCATTCATACAAGCTACAATGATTACTTTCCTGTCTACCTAATATCAACCAATTCCACGAGAAAACTTTAATATCGATAACAATGTCATAAACATCAATGGCTTCATTACTGAAAGTTATGTTATTTCTAGCCCTCCATATAATCCAGCAAGAAATAAATCAAATTGAGTTGATCTTGTCCTCTTTACACCGACCCAAAAGTATCGATTTCCAGACCTTCGCATGAAGACTACAACAATCCTCCGAGATGTTCTTTATATCCACCCAGTCGCAAATCCTATTCCAAACCAACGATGATTTATTGCACGAGAAGAAGAGATGTGAAACATCCTCGTAGCTTGACGAACAAAACGCACAATCCAAATTTTAGGAATAATCAATCACCCTTATTTTCATCAAATTAGATCTGGTAGGCAACCTATCAAGCACCATCCTCCAAATAAAAGTTTGGACTTTTGCCAGTAACACCGTTTTCCAAAGGATCTCCAGAAGTGTTGCGCTATCACTACCAATATCGTGAACAGAAGCAGAAGAAGTTAAAGCAGTATAGAAAGAAGATACCTTATACGAAAGTGAATCATGAAGAAGCCATTTCCAATTATTGACGACATTGTTGTTGGCTGCAACCTGATCCAACAAATTACTACAATCGGTCCATTCTAGTTCAATATTGGATCCTGCATCTATCAATGTTTCTCTAATTTTCCAAACCCACTGACCATCCTCCCAAGTTCCCATCTCGTTGACGATCGAAACTTTCCTGAAACAGCCGCTGAAACCTACTTTTAAGCAGAAAATCTCCAATCCAATTTGACTGCCAAAACGCCGTGCCATGACCTTCTCCAATAGTGCAAGCCATAAACTTGCAGAAGTCCACATGGAGGTCGAAGATTGGACTTGATAGAATATCCTTCATCCAAAGAGAGTCAAATTTTGAGCTACCGACATCGGCGAAAGTTTGCACCTTCATGCTCAAGTTACCGTATCTAAGATTGAGCGTCTTTCTCCAAATTTCATTTCTGCCACTTTGAAATCCCCACAGCCATTTTACTATAAGAGCACAATTAAAACGACCTACGTGTTTAATGCCAAGACATCCGTGTTCCTTCGGCTTGTAGATGGAGTTCCAAGATATCCAAGATATGAACTTTTTACTAGAATTCCCAGCCCAAAGAAAACGCCGTTGGATTGTGATAATATCATTCACGATTTTCTTGGGAGCCTTGAAAAAAGCCAAGTAGTGAATATGCAAGTTAGCTAAAACCGAGTTAATGAGGGATACTCTACTTCCCATTGACAAATTTCTCCCAGCCCAATTTGATAGCTTACTCCTCATACGAGACAGAACCAGGTTCCAGAAAGAGTGTCGACGATGATTTCCTCCTACCAGAAGACCAAGGAAATTGAACGGCAGCTTGCCAGATTTGCAGTGCAGAAATTCTTCAGCTGCAACAAGA